TATGAAAAAATCTTTAGTGTAAGAGACTTAGTGTAGTCTTTAGTGTAAGAAATGTCTAGCATACAACAGCAAGTGTGTTTAGGGGTGTTAAATAGCTGACCATATTAATGTTTTTGGTTGGATCATTGAACACAACTGTTTGCAGTCTCTCTGTTTGAATGTCCACTTTGTATGCTTTGATACTGTGATTTGAGCAACTATCTCTAAGATGATAATGTGTAATCTATTAACTGGTGATTTCTTACTGTTTTTTTTTTTTTTTTTGTAGTTCTGTATTACTTGTACCCTTATACCGCTTTGTTTTGTTTTGTGTATTTCTCTTTTTCCTTTTAAATAAAATTAAAAAAAAGAAATGTCTTAGCAAGTGAAACTACACTTTTTCTCCCTGTAACTCAAACAAAAAGATTGATTATGTAGATTTCCATTTTACCCAGGACTTTTGAGCTTATAGTTATTTATAATAACATATTTTAGAAATTGTATAAGTAAGAATTTCTAACTATACACACCTAACCACCAAAATAGGCAAGACAGAATTTATTATAATTTCTACATGAACATAAGGGAAATTTCCACAACAGATCCCTCTTTCCTTCTTAGCATATCTAAAAAGGTTAACACTGAGTCATGAGTGGAAAAACTTCTGTTTGATCTAGAAAACCACTGAGTCAGATTACAAAACCAAACCAAACCAAACCAAACCAAAACAAATCACTTTTAACACAACTCTCAGCAGCATTTTTATATTTTAATTGTTTTCTCATATGAGACCCCTTTTATAATCAATTCATACTCTGAAAATTGTTACTAAATCATATCTTACTGGCAGTGGCATTTTAGAGTTGAGGCACTTATAAGAATAAATATTTCAGATTTACCAGAAGTACTTTGCATCCAGAAGCAATTTTGTATTTCAGGTCTGTTTTTAGATTCTACTCCTTAGGTCACCATTTGAAAGAAATGTTCTCTTAAAGAGAAAGCATATGAATCAAATAATGATGTCTATAGGGACAGCTATGGTTAGTTACAGCTACTGTATCTTGTATGTGTTCTTAGATACCAACCCGAGCTCTAATTTCTGCTAGGCACTGTAGTATGTTCTCAGGGAAGAAAAATAACTTCTCTCTCTCTCTTCTTCCACGCTATGAAAACCAAATTCAGCAGAGAAGCCAGAGTAAATAGCTTTTGAAAGTGCCCTTCCCCTTCCACAGAGAAGTGGCTTTTCAGGATGCGGAGAATGTAGCTAGCTTACGAAAACTCATTTTTCTGGGGAGAAAGTGTACACATTCAGTACTAGAATTATAAGTTGCAAGGAGAATGGAGCCTTCTAGAAAAAATTATATTTGACCACATATTCATGTGGTGGGGAATAGGAAGAAATTGACACAATTACCTGATACGAAAGGGTTGAAGTCAAGAATCTTAGAAAGTGATTTCTTTTTATATTTGTTGGCTATGAGCAAATTCCCAGCTATGACTCTTGAATTTTTCTTTCTGGACTTATTTTGCAGTCTTTTTTTTTTTTTTTTTTTTTTGTAGCATGCAATTATGTGACTTTCAGTCGTGTTTTTATTTTTCTCTGCCAGTAGCAGGCTCTTATATGCCTTCTGCCAGTCTAAACCTTAAGTCTTTCAATCATCAAAATGAATTTTTCCTTTTCCTGACATCTTCGCTCATCATTCTGTGCATTTTCTTCAGTGTTTGTTGGTGGCTGCAGTGTAGTGAGAAGAACATTGTCCTCAAAGACAGGACTAGAACGCCAGTCCCATTCCTGTTACTGGTATTTTCCTTTAACTCACATATTTGTTTATTTACTTACCTGTTTATCTGTCCTTCCATTATCTTTCTACCTGTGTAATTATGAGATCCTTAGCTTTTCATTTATAATGAGAAAATATATATACTAATAGGATTTTATAATTTCACAGGGCTTTTGGAAACCATCATAAACTTATGACATTATTTTATCTATACCAGTTACTTTGAGGCATACTTATAAGACTGCATGTTACTGTCCCATCATTTTCCAAGGATCAGTTCTCTTTTCCCAAGGGAAGTAGGTATCAGAGAGAGAAATATATTTTTCTTTATTATAACTCACTCTGCCACGAATGTGATTTAGTCAACGAAAATATGATTATTTTTTCTGTCTCGTGTTTTTTAAATATCTGTCAATAGCCAGTGTTTTCTTAGGCTAGATGGAGAGAGCCTTTTGATCATCTAAATGACTCAAATATGATTTATCATCAAGTGTATCAATTTGAAAGCTTGATATCTTCTAGGAAATAATACAATTAAAACTATAAGATGTGCTGAGCACATGTGTGTATATTATACATTAATATAAATACAAAGTGATGTGGTTTGAAAGCAGTCCCTCAAATTTCTTGCATTGGAAATTGAATTCTCAAAATTATATGCAAATGGTATTTGGTATACTTAAGTTTAAATGAGGTCACGAGGGTGAGGTCTCCAGAGGGTGCTTAGTGGCTTTATAAGAGGAGGAAGAGAAACATGAGCTAGGCAGCTTGGTCAGGACATGCTGACTTAGGACTCCAGAGAATCCCCAGCAGTAGCTGTGGTCCCCACCGTGGACTCCTAGAACCATGAGCCAAAATAAACCTCTTTCTTTATAATATATTCAGTTTCTGGTATTATGCTACTAGCAACAGAGACTAAATATACAGAGCATGTGATATGATAAACTTTTTAGTGTCTTCCTTTCATGGCCCATTAGGGATTATTTTATTTAAGAACCGTTTCTACCATAAGAACCCTCTGCATTAGCTGAGGTTGCCTCTACATGAAAGTTACTCAGTAGCCATAGGGCTCTGGTTACAATGTACCTGTAAAAGCTGTGTACCCTGTCGCAGGTTTGTTGGCCTTCTGCCGTGGAGCCTCCTCCTGTGTCGTCGAGATCTGACATCAATTCATTGGGTTTTCAAATAAGATTCTTGTGAATGAGAAAGTCTGCATGGCTGTTTTGGTGCTCATGATAAATTCTCAGTAAATGTCCTCTTGAGTCTTAATTTTCTGCAAATGCTTCCACATTTTTGATGGAGGAATATTTTCTCTCTCTCAGCTCTTAAATGCAAACTTCTTGGCTCAGAGCGCAACACACACAATCGTGGCACAGAGCCTGCTGTCTGTCCATTCTCCCTGCCTGTAAGGTTCTTTTCCACTGAGATGTGTTTTATTTTTCCTCACTAAGTAACTTGAGTGCAGTCTTTTTGAAACCTGCCCAGAACATTCCACCTCAGCACTTACGGGTAGCTGAATATATGTATGCATCTATTTGTGTTTTGCTTCCATATTTTAATTTTAATTTTTTGCTTTCTTATTTTCCTTGTTTCTCGTTTTGTATTTTGAAACTGGCAAAATACAGTGAAATGTATCATGTCCTTAAATTCTTTGCTCAGTCTATTCTAAGGTCTGATATATAGAGAAATTCCATGTGTTGTTGGTTGCCTTTGAAAGTAGAAACCCTATTTTGATTTTGACCCCCTAAGCTGAGCACATTTGGGGCCATCAATGATCTAACAATAGGGAACTATGGTTTTTTCATTTATAGTCTAGTCGTTTGGGAGAAGTAATTTCTATGGAATTGAGGGTGGGGTTCAGAGCAGTTTGAAAGAAAAGTGAGATTCGAAATGAGTTTGGAAGGAGACCTAGAGAAGACTCAGATGTGATCTGTCAGGATGAATGAGGCAGTGACTTTAGAGCGTATTTATTCTGTATGACAGATGAAGTGCTAGTGTGGCCATGTGAAAGTGATTTAAGAGTTATAAGTGACATTAGTTTTTAACATCGTTTATTAAAGTGGAGCTAGCCTCATGTTTGGAGAGGATATCTCCTTCATTTATCTGGAAATTAGAGACGTTTCCTTTCCCCTGTAATCTTTTCTTCCCTAAAAATAGAATAAATTCTGCTGCATTTCTAAAAGCTGAAGATTTTGCTTTTAAATCGTAGTTTGCATAAGCAATAATAACAAAATTTAACTTTTACTTTTTCAATAAAGGTAATAAATCTTTATATAAATAAATAAATTTTATATACATAAATAAATCTTTATATAAACCAATCCCAATACAGAATGAAAAGAAAACTATAATATAAAACTATAATAATCTTTCTAAAGTCTCACTGTGAAGATCAGCATTTTCATTTCTATCCAATCAACTCGAGAAGTTTCTGGAATGAAAGAGTTGGAAAGATCACGGATGTGGTGGTGCCTAGGAGAACCTGTTATGAAAGGAAATAAAATCAGAGTGATCTTGAACTCTGAGATAAACAGAATTGCAAATCCTTGCAAAATTATTATGCATTTTCAGAAAAAAATCATGGTATACAGGTTGCTTTGTGACTTGCTGTTTCTCTTTATTATGAAGAAAAGTTCATTAAATTAAATAGTCTTCTAAAGCATCTCTTATCCACTTGAATTAAGTATTTCGTTGTTTGTTTCCTAATGTTTTAAATAAATCCCCTTGGTTGAATATTTAGGTATATGTTTCTAAAAATAGTAAACTGCAGAAATGGAAATCTCTATAGATAAATCTATTTTCATAGTCATGATTATTTCCTTAGGATACATTTCTAAAAATGATATTATAATTTGAAAGCACTACATATATAGTGCTTTAACATTTTTAATACATATATATGTTTAAAACATGTATGTTTAAAATTTTTTGATACACATGATCTTGTGTAGCTATGATGTCAGCTGTTATGTATGAAAATGTACATTTTTCTGCACATTTGCTCAAACACACAGATTTACTTCTGTAAATATTCGTAGGTTGATGTCATTTTATGCACACACACATGTTCATACTTATGTGTATGTATGTAAGTGTATGACTGTGTTTGTATTAATTTTTACTATAATACTCTTACAAAATATACTTGGCTTGTCTATCTATTAACCTGTTATATCCAGTGAGACTGCAAATGTATTTCTTATGTGTCTACTTCTAAATGCCATTGTCTTTACTTCCCAGGTGCCTGCGTGACCGTCACCCACAGCCAGTGTCAGATGCTACCCTACCACACCACACTAACATCTCCAGTCTCAACCATTGTAAACGTAGAAACAGAGAAGTTCCTCAAGTTCTTCACCTACCTCCACCGCCTCAGTTGCTATAAATATATCATGCTATTTGGCTGTAGTCTCGCCTTCCCTGAGTGCATCATTGATGGTGATGACAGGTATTTGAAACCAAAATCATTCTGTGATAAAAATCCATTTGAATTCTGGGGACAAGTGTCCAAGAGGAACATAATCATCCTGTTATGACTTCTCATTTTTGTTGGCATTGAATGGCAAAAAGACTCACATCATTCATAACCAGTTGTGATTCTTTAGAAGTATTCGGAAAATGAAGAATGCTTTTATTTATAGGACTAAGTTATTCAGTACATTCCGTTAATGATTTCTGAATGATATGCAATTTGTTGTTCCAATGAAAGTCTAGCAGAAGAGATACAGCATGCTCAAAGGGGTAGTTGGAAGAGTTTACTGAAGATGCTAATTTTGGAGGTGTGGGAAGATAAAGGAAACAAATAAGTGATGGGAAATAGTAGAGTTTTAGTACAGGGAAATGCAGTCCGACTATCCAAGCCTTGAAGGGCCAAAGGCATACCTGGAGAATCGTAGGTGTGGGTGAAGGGTCTCCAATAAGCCAGGTCCCATGACCAAGAGCAGAGGACATAGCCACTGGCTGCCCTTCAATTCTGAAGTATAGGAGAGGGTAAAGGACAAATTTCCTGCGCTCATTTCCCTTCTGCCCTCCCACCTGCCAATGTCTCCTGCCAACTGAAATCACCTACAAGCAGAGCACGAGAAAGTCGTACAATTGGTGTTAAGTTCAGTGGATAAGACCTAGAATCTCAGTGCCTCTAAAGTCCTAATCTTAACCATTAAATCAAGTATGAGTGAGATTCTGGATGGTTTTTCCCATCAATGCTGGAACGAAGTATAGGGTGGGAGGTTGAAGAGTAGATGTGGATGGACAAACAGATTATTTATCCAACACAATGTCTGAGAGGATTAGAAATAATGTTCAATAAGAATAAATCAATCAAAAGGATGTCATGGAATATTGGAAATACTATATATATTCTTTGTTACAAGCACATGTTAAATGCATATTCTCATATAATTTCAATTATTTTCTGGATTAAAATGTTATGAATTCTTCTGAATAACAGTGTCACAATGAATTGTATTTTCAAATAATATGGAGCAAATAGGCTCCATATTATTTGAACTAATTTAATTAGCATGTGAAATACTCTGGGAGTAGGGGAAAGACATTTATTATTTGAACAACAGAAAGACTGGATTGTCATTGCTTCAAGGTAGAATAAAACCATAGATTCTGAGTTGTAGGAGAGAGTAAAGAGCTATCAGAAGGCACAGAATCCAGGGAAATGTGCCAAGTAAAAAATCCATTGCAGAGAATCCTTTCATGGTACAGAGATAGAAGCCCACTTAGGTCTGTCTCAGAAGTTAAAATCTGGAGTGGCCCTAAAAATACCCTTTATATTTCTTGATAGTGGGAGTATAATATGGGATTTGTATTAGTTTACTAGGACAGCCATAGCAAATTGCTATAAGCTGGGGTGTCTTAAATAACAGAAATTGTTGTTTTATTGTTCTGAGAGCTGGAAGTCCACAGTCTGACAGGGTTTTGTGCTCCCCTAGGGTTCCTTGTGAGGATTCATGTTTATTTTTTGCTGTCTTCTTGTGGTGTGTGTTCCTTAACTTGTGGTCACGTCACTTTAATGTCTGCCTCTCTCTTTGAATGGTCTTGTCCTATGTGTCTCCTTCTTGGTCTTTTGTACAGATGATTGTCACTGAATTTAGGGCCACACAGACAACTCAGGAGCATACCTGCGTCTCAGGCTCCTTCGTTGCATTCACAAAAATCTGTTCACCAAATAAAGCCATATTCACAGGTTCCAGGGGTTAGAATGTGGACATATCTCTTTGGGGACTACTTTTCAGCACACTACAGTAGTTAAGGAAACAGTTAATGGAATCATGCACCATGGCCTTCTCATCTGTACAATAAAAATACAAGTTATTTCTTGCAAAACTAATGTAAAGATCAAAAGACACAGGAAGCTTGAAGCAGTGTTTTCTCTAACAGGAAAAAAATATCAACAAAGATATAAATAGTGAATTAAAAAAGACAAAAATATTTGTAAAACAACACATAAAGTATTTCCACCCTTTGTTAAGGTTGCAAAAAATGTCAAATGCTATACAGATGAAAAGAAAATTAGATAGACAACTAAAGGCTTCTGCTCTGGATTCTAGTTCTATTTATTATTTTTGAACAATTTTGCTTATAATACTTTGGCTTACTTTCTCTGTAGACTCATAAATAAAATAATAAATACAGATTCCAGAGTCTTTAAGTTAATTATTATCATTCTCCTTATTATAATTCAACCTCTATCTGATTATCAGTTATGATTTTAAAAAATTTTAAAGTTGCTTATAATTTTCAAAGATATTCTAGCTAAATTTGTTTGTCTTGTGATTTGTTTCATCCTGACAAATATGGTAATAGGAAAGCTTTCCATTTTCTCTTATAACGAGTAATAATTCATAGTCAGTTTTCAAGTGTCTTTTGGAGACTTACCTATTTTATTATTATATGTATTATTACATTTAGTTTTATATTGTACCTTTAGACCAGTGCTTCCTGCTGACATTTGGTGTATGCATGGGATATGCAATGTAATTTAATAAGCAAAGTAAATTCAGAAAAGAAAAATGTACTGTAGAAAATAATTATTAAATCTCACACACTTTTATTATATTTTATTAGTTTGGGTAATCTATTATACTAGTTAGTTTTTTCTACTATTCAAATAATGGAAAATCTCTTGTGTCCACTCCTTGAGAAAATTACATTTAAAATTTAATTTAAAAAGATTATAGTGCAATGCATAAATAGCATAGTGTTCAACAAGATTCCTTTGAGACCTCAGATACTCATTAACTACATTGTATGTTTTAACAATGGACTTCAATAATTTTTATTTTACACTGTTTCCTTTTAATAAATATGTACATCACATACTGTAATTCCTAAGTATGGAAACATAATTGACAAACTATTTGTGTGGTCCTAAAATATATGAGTTAGAAAGGAATGCTTAAAATATTAGCAAGTAACTAGCAAGAAATTCACAATTGCTTTGTCAAAAAATAGAAGTTTGTAAATATCTTTCTGATGTACCGAGTTCACATCCGGCTCCTGAGTTTGGAACAGAAAGTGGTATTGAAGTCACATACTTTTGATATGCAACTGTTACCTTCCTCATTTTGCTCAGATGATGGCCTTTTGATCTGGAAAGAGTATATTTGCTCTGGAAAGCCCAGCCTTGGCTAGGCTTCCAGCAGACACCTAGGAGAGCCTGATGATTTTTAGTCATGACACTCATATCATTTATGCTCATGAAATAATGGATTAGAATTAGGAACTTGACATGTTGACTAGTGACTTTTTTCACTGACTAGTATTGATTTGCTGAGAGGCTTTTAGTAGAAATACTTGTACCTAGAACATGAAATCAAAGTTCTTTATGTGGCTAAATGAGTAGAGATTAAAGATTGTATCTCACACCTAAGAACTTTATAACTATTTCCATTGTTTATTTAATATCAATGTTTATGTTTGTGTTGAAGATCAAACACATTTCCTCAAAAGCATTATATTTCTCCAAAATTGTACATTATGTGCTTTCACTGGATATTAAATAATCTGGCAATTATAGAGAATACATTTGAAAATTGGGGGCAGATAGGATGACCCTTTTTGCTTATCTGTGTACTTTATATCTTAGTTTAAAACTACACTCTAGCAAAGCACTTACTATGTCCATTGCTATCAAGTGTTGAAACGTGGCCCAACACATAGTAGGTACATAACATATATTTTTTAGAATAAGTAACCAAACTCTTCAACAAGGGAAACTTTCTAAATGTCTTGATCTTTGAGAGTTAAAAATGTGCTGATTATAGTGATATATTTTTTGTGTAATTTGTATGTTCCTTAAAATTTGTGCACAAAGCAACCCTTATGTATACATTAAATTGCAATTTTAAAGTGACCTAGATGACATTTCCAGACATGATTTAGTTTCTTTCTGAATGATCTTTAGTAGAAAAGACAAATGCGAGTGATTTGCATTTCTCCATCACTGTCAAAATCCTGAACCTAATAGTTGAGAAAATATTAGATTATACTCAGGGATTGTCTTAGTGGCTTTGTGCCTTCATTTTATACTGACCCATATGCATTCACTTAAAGAGTCAAATGTAGGGTTAAGTCTAGTTAAAGATCTTAGGCTTAACTCTGTATAAAGGCCAGAAAGCAATTATGCTAGCATGTCTAGAGGATGATGGCCAGGTTGATGGTTGAGAATCTATCCTTGTGACAAGTTGTTCAGAGAAATCAGTGTGAAGTCCCAAGGGTGCACTGTGGCCATCCTCAGATGTGTCTGGGCCATGGTATGGAAGGGGAACCACAATTTAATAATTCGTCTATAGGAAAAGGATAGGACTCCTAATTGAAAGTTGTGGAGAAGTAATTCCAACTTAACCAAAGGAATAATTTATGGATAAAAAGTTATATGAATGTAGAATTATTGTCTTGGATAATGGTATTGTTTGGGATCATTGAAGAAACTGAAATGGATGCTGAACACTCACTGGAGATGCTGGACAGGGAATTCCGGCATCTAGCTGTAGGTTGGCTTCCTATGGATTAAGGCTGTTCAGAGTGACTCATGGCACTGATGACTAAGGAAATCTAAAAGCTCATGAGACAGAATGAATAAAATATGTCACAGCTTGTCCCTGGGCCACTTATATATTTGCTTTGGAAGCAACAGTGAGAGAAGCCCCTTGGATGTTGTGTGAGGAGTCATTCTGACATCTGACAGACTATCCAATAGTACCTGTGGTTGTCCAGCTGTCTTCAGAAACGATGGGCTGAGTTAATTGTGGTACTTCTGCTTTGCTGCTAGGACTCTGCAGACTGGGACCCTGCTACCCCAAACTCTCTTTCTCTCTTATGTAACTAAAATGTGTCATTGGGGAGATGATAAATTATCTGTTTGTATCCTGCACATTTTGGGTGGCTTGGTCTTTGCTCAGAGTTAAACAGTTCATTTTAAGAAATAGAATT